AAAAAAAATTAATAACTTACTTTAATTTATTTTTGTTAAAAATATTGTTTCATTGAGAAACTGTAGTCTCATATAACACTTTTTCTTTGTAACTGTAGGCGATTCTCGTCTAATTATGTAATAAATCTCAACTTAATTTATAAGGATTTAAAGTTATTAATCAAACAATTTTATCTAAAATTAGAGATCATGTAATCAAAAGTAAGGTTATAATAAAATCACAAATAATACAATATTTTACGAAAAAACATAACTCTACCTAATTTGGCCGCTCAAAAGTCGGTTTAAAGAATTTTAACCGAAATAAAATTAATAAACAAAACATTTTTTCTAGTTAGTGATGATGCAATAGTGAATCGCATTACATAATTAGTTTTTAATTTATCACCTATTATTGAATGAAAACACCGACATAAAAAACAATACACTCTCAAAATTTATATATAAATAAAGGGTAGGAGCTGTTCTGAATAGAACCATAGTTTAAATGATTTTTTCTTTTACTTGATCTTTAAGATTAATCCTTTAAATTGCAGCGATAATTTATGTTACATTCTATCTGTTTCATGGTTGTATTTATAAAGCAATAAGAATAGCTGACAAAAATATTATTATAATTAATCTCATATTTAATTTTATATTTTCTAAAATGCTATTATCTGTTAATAACCACTAACTGCAAAAACTACCAAATTTAATTTGAATTAGTTTACGTTGTACAGCTAGTGGAGCATAAATAACTTATTATATATTTGTTAAGTTATGACGTTATTTACACCATTTTCTGTAGGAAAGTTACATCTCCAACCTATTCTAGCCAGATTGTAAGACATTATAAGGTTAATGTTTATTACCAGGATCTGCAATGGAACAAAATTAATTGATTAAAACTTCTTTTTTTAAATATTTAGACCAAAGTGACTGGACAATAAATACTTAAACATTTAGTAATGCCTACGTAACCAACGTATTTCGAAAATCGTAAGTCACGAAGTCTAGTGCCAGTTTCGCAACCACACCCATTTCATGAATTGACCAGAAAAGGTATATAATCTCATATGATCTGAATCAATAACAGTCACCAGCTTGAAGGACCTTGAATTTGGGGCCTAACACAAATCGTCCTAAGCGTTTCATTATTTCTTCCGTTTATGAGTCCTTAATGGACATTAATTTACAAAGAAATACACTCACAATCAACCAACTTCAATACATGATGGTTGAATCACTATGCATTGGCTTCTCATATTCTTAATCGTTTAATATTTAATTATTCGGTAAACTTTTGCTATTCTTGAGGGATCCAGAAGTTTTTTTTTCCGGTTCTCTTCAAGAAGAGACCCCTGGTATAATATAATTTTTTACATGCATTTTCCAAAATAAAAAAAATAATATTTTATTATAGTAACGAAAGAACCCTTTGTAATATAGTTAAGAAAACTGCAATAGTTGCTAGCTATCTCGAAAAGTAATCATTTCAGGGGAACGATTTAGCGGAGGAAAAATATTTCTGTTAGTAACAACTTTAACTTGAATTTTATCAGGAGTTAACTATACGTTGATGAGATATTACAGTGGTCTCAAGAATAAATAGAAACACAAGAGATTGGAGAAAAGGTTTAAACTGCTCGAGAATTGAAAGTACGTAGTTTGAATAAAAGTAGGGTTGTCTACTTCGTGATCAAAATTTAAAACATTGTAAAATAATAAAGTCAAATGATACATAGTTATATATAAATAAATAACAATAAAATACGAACGGTTAAATTTTCATGTCAGAAAACTTCCTGATTATATTTTTCATGATCTTTATTTCATACATCAGCTTTGAGTTAGATGATAAAATATCGATTTTTTTCCCCACAATTCCGCTCTTAACAACTTCAATGACAATTTTTTTTTTATTAAGTGAATAACATTTGTTCTTTTTGAATGAAAATGTAACCAATTCAAAAAACACAATTTGAATTCGGCGCAGTAGGCATGAAGGCATAATTAATATAATTTTTTTTAAATGATATACTTCACTGGTAAAAACGGTCACTCAACAGGAACCTGCGTAGCATGTACCGATGTGAACGATAAAAGCTTTTTCAGAAACAAAATATTAAAAAAATGTGTATATTTATAATCTATACATAAATAAAATACACATAACCTATAAATCAAGCATGATTTTAAATTAAAAACGAAATGATTATTACATAATGTTGTGGAATAATAATTATCGATTTCAAACGTGGTTCAAAACAATTATAGAAGTGGAATATTTCAAAATATATCGAGTAACTAGGAGTTTTTGACCCAAATAAATTTAACAAATAAAATAATTTTAATAAACAAAATTTCAAGAAATCGGGAAAAACCAATCACATTATTATAAAAATTGGCATGGTTCTCTACTCCATTAAAGGACTAAGTGCTTATTTTATGGATGAGTTATGTACTCATTTTATGGTACTCGGTGTGATGTTAAATACAAGGATTCATTTCCATGATTCCCTTCGTTACCATGATGGAAGAACAACTCATTTAAATGTGAATTTTTAATTCAAATAGGATTTGATGCCATTTTATCAGACAAGAGGTTAAAATTTCAAGGACTTGTAGCCTTTTCCATTTATTTTCATACTCTGAAGCAAGCATTTAATTTATTTTTAAATGACTTTGAACCTAGCTTAACCTTATTAATTCTTAGATTGATTGTTCAGTTCGGAGTTTCTTAGCAGTCTCTGTAATTCAGAGAAGAAGAAATAGTATAAGAAATAATATATTAATTCCTTTTATACTCTTCAAAAGTATTTTCAATACGAATCAGCCATCCATAATAGTCTGACCGGTAGATATAAGTTCAACGACACCATCATTCTTCCATCTCTTCCTTCTCGTCTTGGGGAATCCAGGACCGCAAGGAAGAGCAAGTATTTTTAGACGGAAAAGATGCAGAAGTGGATGGTATTTTTAGCCGGAGCGACGAGAAGACATACACAGTCAGGGCGTGGCCAAGGTCTTGCCTTAAAGGTCACTTATATTTCCTTTACGGTCGTCGATATCTTTTTCTTGGTCTCCGTCAGCTGGTTCTTGTATTGTGGGAGCCATTATTTCTTCAATCGCTGGTACTCACAGCATAATTTAAAAATATATCTTTAATATTTAATATTAATTTGTTGCATTACTCAAACATGTAATAATTTTTAATGTATAGTAGTTGCATATGTTAGGTATATTTATTAATGTACTTTCCCTGTAAACCATGGACTTTTGTATTCTATAAGGTCATAGGAATTGTAAGCATTTCATATCCGTTTCAAAACTCATATAACTATTACGGAGGTTTAAGAGATGCCTGATATGTATATTTTCCCTCTTTATCGCTCAATTAAGTACTTCCTGCTGGCCTTTATGTTTAAATGAGCTTAAATTCGGAATCCAGGGAAGTTTTTAGGAAAAAAGATTATTTAAGAATTTGGTTAAATTTCGGCCAATCAGTCAAAATTTCGGTCAATGGTTTTTAAAGCTTTGCGTATTTCTACATCCCCTCCAAAGTGAGCAAGAAAATTGGTATGTGAACTGGATTAGTGTCGGGAAGTGAGCTTTCGAACTTTTTTCTCATCACAACCATTTTGGTAAGTTATATACGGAAAGAACATATACTCGAAAACCAAATATTCGAAAAAGCAAATAAGGATTTTAATTGTTTTTTTATTACATTTCTATAATTCTTTACTCCGAAGATAAAGAACTTGTCCAGGTTTTTTTTTTTCCTTTTTTTAGCCCAAGACTTCCACTTAAGTACGATAAAGATGTCCGTTTTTTTAAATAAATAATTTAGTAACTAAGAAACAAATTTATGGAAAATTGGCTCTCCGAACAAATACCAAAATGGACTTGGTGTTCTTTACCTCCGGGACACAGATTTAATTTCCTCACACAAACAATAAGAAACAAATTTTCTACTGTTACCAAAAAAAAAAAAAAAAAAAAATGAGAGCAAATACGACCTTAGTGTTAGTGCTATATTCTCTATGTTCTTATTTAATATATACTTGATATGCCAGGTGTTTATATTCAAAATGAAGGAAAATCTAACATTATATAGACTCCATCGTAAATTGTAATTGGAATCGGAATATTCATCATTTCATAGTACTTCTTTTTAATGAGGTTTTTCTGAAACTACGTATAGAATATATAGACATATTATTACATTATCCTTTTTCGAAAATATGATAATATATTTCATGTATTTCAGGGTGGAAATGTACTTACAATGATGGTTTTCTTAAAAAAAAAAAAAAAAAAATAGTTATGCCTAGACGCTATGGCTAATCGATGGTCCACTAAGGCGGCGTAGGGGTTTGAGGTTATCATACACTACCAGCAGAACAGTTCCGAAGGTTGGCTCCTGTTACATTAACGGTTGTTACAGTCGTTCGAATAACCACGTTCATTGTCACTGTTGTTACATTCGTTCCGATAACCACCTTCACAGTCACTGTTGTTACAATCGTTCCTATAACCAACTTCACTCAATACGTTCCCATGGTATTTGACAGCCGGTGCCCAGGTCGTGACCCTAAGGCCTTCCATCTTCACGACCGTCGTCAACCTTCCCTTACCCACGGGCTGGCTTACAGCGTATAACAAATATAGAAACCTTCATAATTTTAAAAATAATATCCTCAACCACTAGCTCAATCTATCAAACGGTAGCTACTCATCGAAATAACGTTTGTTTATATGATTACAATCCATTATGTCATATCCATATAATCCATACAATGCATAATATCAGCATCATAATCAAAATTCAAAACAAACAATGATAAAAAAACACATATTTCAGTAGAAAATATATGAATAGTAGCAGAATGTAATAATGATTAATACTGAAATTTAAATTATTCTCAATACTCCTTATGCCTAAATGTAATAAGAATTGACTAACCATATTACTTAAAAAATACTAAAATACTAATTAGGTTGTGGTTTGATTACAGGTGGTGTTGGTGTTACTCTTGGAGACGCACTGTCGCCCTCTGGCGCAGGACGTTCTCGCAGGAGAGGAATTCCTAGCCGTGTTCATGAGAAGTCACCGGCCAAGGTCCACCTACCGTAAGACGACGACGACACAGGTGACGACAGAGCAGACCACTCCGTCCATACCAACGGCGACGGAGCCCATCCCCACTACCTTGGAGACGGAGCCACCCAGCGTGGTCTCGGTGAGGGTCAGCTCTTCGGTGAGGAAGGAAGCAGTCCACGAACCGCTTCACGAACCGATCCACGAGACGGTCAGCGCGGCAGCTCAGAGGAGCCACTTCTCAGTGGAGTCATCAGGCTACCGAGAGGCCTCGGGCCGGCGGGAGGAGGACTCCGTGGCCGAGGCCAGCCAGGACGTGCCACTGGAGAGCCTTCATGTCGAGGAGAACAAGCCCGTAGCAGAAGCGCTTACTCTCGAAGAGTCAGGAGTACATTACGAGTCCAGGGTTTCGAGCGAAACCTCCCACAGTAGGATTTATTTTAGTCAACCCAAGCTACCCACTCAATCACATTTAGTTCAACCATCAAGTCAAGCAAATAGAAAATATCATCCTCTGCCACCGCTGCCTGAAGAAGAACCGAAGTATGAACGACAGATATTGACGCAAGCTTTTTCGCAGGATAATGGTGATAGGAAATACGGACCAGAAATCATACTCACACAGACCCACCAAGAAAGTAAAAACTCACCTCACATCATCTTCACCCAGGATGAGCAGGAACACAAAAGCGCTGATGACTCTAGCAAATTCGAACCTGAAGTCATTGTGACCCGACAAGAAACTAAATACGGTCCAGAAATAGTAGTAACGCAGACACAAAGTGAAAGCAAGTACACTCCTGAACTGTTTGCAACACAAGCGCAAACAGGGTCGCAGCCCGAAATCAATAGTTCCGAAGAAGAAAGCAGAGCGGAGACAGTTATAAGTCAAACTCAGGAAACTAGAAAGTACGTAGGTCAGAATAGAGAGCAGAGGCAATACACGCCGCAGACGCAATCCCAGGAACGTTCTCAGGATGGGTCCTTCGGGGGGCAGGCATCGTCTGCAGAGTCAGCCGAACAGTATAAGAGCCAGCCTAACGAACAGCAGGCAGAGAGGAACTACGAACAGCCAGAACAGAATTACGAAGTGGACGAGGCTATATCTGTGATGACGAATGGGCGCGCCCATGGTGTACAGACCGAAAGCCCCAGCAGTCACAAATTCGGTTTCGTTCAAGAGGGTAGAAATTACAGAAAGTATCGAGTGGAGGAGAAGACTCCGGACGGGTTCATCGTCGGGGAGTACGGGGTGGTGAACCACGACGGAGGTGGTATACGAGGAGTAAGGTACACGGCTGATGGAAGCATCAGCCCAAGGCTCATCTACGAGGCTCTGGTGAAGTTCCTCTCCCTGAAGTGAGTTCCTATCTCGGCTGGGGCGGCGACGCTAGCCCTTGCTGCGCCAGCCGCGGACCCGGTCCTTGGGGGCTCGCCGAGGTCCCGGTCCCAGGGGGCTCGCCGAGGTCCCGGGTGCCGGTCCCTGAGGTACATTGGGTACCGGGCATTGGGACTGCCCACTAGTCCACCGTCGGCCGCATCTTTGCTCAATCAGTCAACGGTCAACCTATCTATCCTCCCATTCAATACTCAGACTTAAAGGTTTAAATCAATGTATATTTGTATTGTAAATTTTATAATAAAATTTAGTTTTATTTGCATTTTACTAATTTGTATCATTTCCTTCACCTTGAATTATTTGTTTCAATATTGTTTGTCAAATTTATCTTTGGTATTCATTGTTTTAAAATTTAATCTTATTAAAATTGGAATTAAAAAATTATCTTATTTTAAGAAAATTTATAAATTTTATGGAGTAATATAACATTATAAAGTAAAATAAAAACATTAGAATAAAATAAAACATTCTGACATAATATGGACATTAGTTATAGTGAGAAAAGATTTAATTCATACCACATTTAAAGAAAATATAAAAAAAATTAAAATAATAAAAAGTAATTATATTGAAAACTAAAAATATATAATATGCAATAACTAAAAATAAAATAAACTTAAAGATAAAAAGTAAAGTAAAGTAAAACCTTAAACAAAAACATAATTTACAATCAACCAAGCCAACTCCGAACAAGGCTTGTCACTCCATATCTGGTTGGAAAAACAGGATTCCAGGAGATTCCTGCCCTTCTCTCTCAACCCCTTCACTGATACTAAAACCGTTGGTGACTGAACAACAGCCCAATACGGATCTGTGTGGCGCTATTGCCAGTGTACCTCATACACACATATCTTGAGTGGAAAATCTGGCCATTGCCAAAAGATTATACACACGATTAAGAATGTTCGGTATTATAATAATATTAAGGTCAAATTTCTATTATGCTAAAATTTAAAACATAATAAAGTAACAGTACTTAAGAGGTATATTTTTAAACAGTGATGTGGCTGGGAGAGAAGCGTTGGGATCTCTTTTGAGCCCTGTCTTTCCTTTCACGCGAGAGCGGCAAGACATGGTATAGAGTTCCCTAGGTTGAATGTAAATATTGTACCTAAGAATGAATGTGTGACAAGTATTTTTTTTTCTTACTTTACAATTATTTCAATGTACTTTTTTTTTTTACTTATATGTATTCTTCTTATTTTTCTAACTTATATTTTAAATTTTTTATAAAATGTATGAATGTAAACATAGACCCATAATGCTCAATGCCCTAGATTGTGGCAGATTGTATTATTTTTCTTCAATAAAATTAATTAATGTATATGATAATTACTTTATGATTAATGCTATAAAGATGTCATATTTCGTTGAAAATAACAAAAATGTATTAAATATATCTTTTTTGAATATCAGATAAGCATTATCTATTAGCTGGAAGGAGAGTTGCATTCCTTGGACATATGATATTCTTTCTTTTTACGTTTTTTCAAAAACGCCAAGAGGCTTTAAGAAGTTAAAAAGAAATAAAGCAGCCAAAACAATAGAGAATAAATGAAACAAGTTTTTTCAAAACTAAAAATATCTCTGATAATTATAAAACAGTAATTCTAGATTATTATAATTATATAATTTTTCGTACATATCAAATACATGTATAAGTATAATAAGTCTGACAATAAAGACTAGAATTAGTTACACTTACCTATGAGTAATTGAGTATATTATATACATAAGAGAGGGGACGAAGCATTTATGAAACGTTCGAATAGTACAAAAAAAAAAATATAAGCACTATTTTTTTATTGTTTTAATTTTGACCAGTCGGCAAAGTTATGTAGAAGAAATAAAATAGAAGAGATATGACTCATCCGAAAAAAAGCCTAAGAAAATTGACGACGATCCATAAAAGAAGTTTAGTAATAATTAAGTATTTAAACAACTTATCTTTAATATAATCTAGACGAGAAAGGAAGACTAATTTGAATAAAAACTTTTCCATTATAATGAAAATATTATTGTCTACAGATCGTGAATGTATTTATTTATTTGTCATTGTGTCCGTAGCTATATTCTCACTAGTCGTAAAAATGATAACTACTCTGATAACTCAAATAGTAGTAATTGGTTTAGTTACTAAACTGCTATTTTTGAACAAAGTAATTGACAACAGAAGGTAATGTATGAATACGTAATGATGGATATTAAGGTAAGTTCACACCATCAGGCTGAAACAGAAGTCATTACTAGCACAAATTGTACGCTGTAACCTGTTATTTATTTGATCGATATGGGATTACACCATCAGCTTCATAATAATGTGACAACCCCAGGGCATTTATTTTATCAATTCGATAGTTCAGAGAGACCCCAATAATAGAATAAAGTATATCTCTATTCAGTTCTAAAATGTTTTTCTATTTATAACAAAATAAATATACCTGTGCTTAGAATTTCGTGATATAAAAAAAAAACCTGCATTACTACGGCGCATGAAGGATCTTAAGTCCAGTACTATTTAGGCATAGTTACTCAGTGGCAAGAAGGTGATTTGACTGAGATCACACTCAACCATAAAGTTTTCCTCTTAAATAATTATTTAATTAAGAGAACCCACTTTATAGAGGCTAGGTGTACCCCAGAAGGATTACCCGACCGCAGATTCGCCCCACGTCTAATGAAACAGAATAAATATTTTTTCTGTCACTAAGCGGGATTCGAACCTGGGACCTTGTGCATTGCAGGCTCAGTGCCCTAACACTGAGCTACCCCACTCCCAGAATTTTGTGATATAATTACAATAAATTAAGTAATTATTTTTTCCGAATTAAGAAGTTTTTCCCGTTGTCAAAAGTCTTGTTTACCCGATAGTCTTTTTCACCCCTGCCTATCTTGCGCTATTTTTCTGCAGTTATCTGCATGCAGCTCTACAGCACCTCTGTTGATTCAATGTGTGAATATGAAGTAGCTGTTGGAATAGGAACTGTGTGAAGGAATTTGTGGATAAGGATTGACGTGTGAAGGTAGGAAAATTGTTCCAAAAGGAGGTACCACGAACGATGAAGGGATTGATAAAGGAAGTAGTTTTATGGAATGGGATATATAAATCTATATTTTGAGATCTGGTATTGAGAGAGTAGATAGAGGAGTGTACAGTAAGTGGTTCTAAGATGTAGAGAGGGGTTTTGGGTTCTGAGGACTTGGAAAAGGAAAACACCAAAAAGGAATTGTCGTAGAGAAGTAGGATAGAGCCATTTCAACTCTGTATACCAGCAGGAAACATGAGAACGCCTGGTAATCCCAAAAATGTACCTTATAAAGCATTTCATTTAGACTGTTTATGATTTTCTTAACTTTTTATCAAAATATCTCGTAACTTCTACAATTGTCTATATCATATTGTCTGTATCTTGTTCGTTCTAGCCCGGACGAAGAGACCTGCATAGTTGTTTCGAAACTTTGGCTTAAAATAAATTAGTTTTCACTATTTTAAGTTTTTTTATTGCCGCTACGGATCTTTTCTGTCCTCAATCTTATACTACGGCCATCCATTAAGGATTCAATCTAAATTTTTAATATTGTAATTAGGGTAACAAGATGGGGGATGGAATTTCTAAATTCTAGTACTTTTTTTTCGATTCCTGGCCGATAACTTATAAATGGCGCTTCGTATAAAACATTATATTATGTTAGAAATTAATGAAGAGCATTAAATTCTACTTAAAGTGCTTATCTCAAATATCAAATTCCGTTCGACAGAAGAGTCAAAATTCATAATAAAAAATATCGTTGAACTATGCATTTTGAGTGATTATTTAGATTTAAAGCGGCTATTGTGGATAAAGGTATATTAATTGAATCTTGTAGAGCATTGAATTAAACATTCAGTGGATATAGATTTTTTTTTTTTATTTCATGCAAGTAACCCAAAGAAACTCATTTCTAACAAATGTCAACTATGGCAGAGTAATTCATGGTTTTGTTTATACAAAGTTACATTGAAGTTATTACTCATCACTGTTACCGACCATTCAGGAACTGGAATCTTTACGCATGGTCGCAGTTATTCAGTTTAGCTCTGTAACACAATTTTTTAAGGACGACCTGGGTAGTGACTGATAAAATAATCACCACGTTGCGACGGTAATCACAGCTTTGAAACTGAGGTGTGCCCTAAATATAGTAAACAATATTTAAAGTGGCATTTGTAAATTATTCAGTTATTGTAGAAAATAAATTGTAAAACTGAGGAAGAAGCAAGATATAACTGAATGATCGAGCATTATGACATGAATAAAAGTATTCATTTATAATATTTTAAAAAGTAGCTAAATTTGGAGTAACACTTAACTATGAGTGATTAGTGATCTTAAGAATTAAGAAAATTTATTTTAAAAGCCAATTATTTTGTGCATTATGATTACTCACTTCAAGATGGGTAAATAGTCGACTGATCAATTATAAGGAAGAAAAAACTTGTCAAGAATTTCAGTCACGATAATATTTATTGGGATAGCCGACGTTTCGGCCCAAACGTGTTGGAAATCATGCGTTTTTGTTTTTTACACTTCTTATTTATTGAATTGTTTTTGGTTTATTATTTTCAATAATAATACATTGTGATCGACCGAAAAAATTCAAAAACATAACCCCCTCTCAAAATTTGAGGTTTCACGTTTCAAGATGCGTAGAATTCGAAGAACGAATACAATTTTTTTTGTCCGTCCGCCGTCTGCGCATTTTCTCCGAAACTACTGGACCAATTTTTTTCAAATTTTGATATAAAATCAGAGGTCACCCGAGGATGATCCTCCTTCATCGGCATTACTCTCCGCCTTTAACTTTCAAAATGGCGACCAAAAAACCTGCGTTGCTATAGACTGTAGCTCCTAAACGAATGTACAGATTTCAATGAAACTTCCCTAAAGTCATTTTCTCGACGCCCTTTAAATTTATCTATATAACATACTTCAACGAGAAGAAGCTGGAAAAAAAGTTACGAGGGATGTTAAAATTAAATTCCGAATAACTCGAAAAGTTTTTACTTTTTTGTTGTTATTGTATATGGTTTTTTAAAAGTTTATGAAATTTCCTAAAAAAAAAAAAAAAAAAAAAATAGTTAAAATCGGACAATTAGGAGCAAAGATATGGTCTCTGGTTTGTTTTTATGTGTTCTACTCCAAATGTTATATCCTTGGTTTGGTTTTTAAATTTTAAATGTGTTACTGAAATAATGCTATTTTTTTTTTAGCATATTACTAATGTTTAAAGAAAAACAGTTTAGTCCAATAATTGGAATCACC